GATTCAAATGTTTTTAGGATGGGAAGGAGTAGGTCTCGCATCATATTTGTTAATTAATTTTTGGTTTACACGACTTCAAGCAAATAAAGCAGCTATTAAAGCAATGCTTGTGAATCGAGTAGGTGATTTTGGATTAGCTCTTGGTATTATGGGTTGTTTTGCTATTTTTCAAACAGTAGACTTTTCAACCATTTTTGCTTGTGCTAGTGCCTTTGTGTGCGAACCTTCTTTCATTTTTTTTAATATGAAAATTCATGCACTAACTGCTATTTGTGTTTTACTCTTTATTGGAGCTGTAGGTCTCTCTTCAGCATGCTGTGTACTGCAAATTCTGGTGGTATTGTATTGCTTTTTTGTTTCTTAGCTTTGGCACGTTTAGTTGCTTTCATTGGCTCTTTCCATTCTTGGTTGACTTCGGTTTTGGTAGTAATTGGCTTACAATAGCGGTTTTGGTATTATGCTTTTTTTTTTCTTTTTCTTTCTTTCTTTCTTTCAAAGTAAGCTACATTCTTCTCTCAATTTCACCTCACACTACCTACCCATCACTACTAATTATAGTCCTATGGAGAACCCGTAGCAGCCAGAGCCGTGTTCACGAGAGAACATGCCGGAGCTGCTCCCGACCTGCAGGCGGGCGATACCGGCCAGGGGACAGCCCGTAGCATCAGGGAACATAAGCCAACAGGACCAACCCCTGTGCCTCCCCTCAGGTCCCCTCCCCTACGAACATCAGCAGAGTCTGCTGAATGCCGACCGGGGGATCCAGTGGTCTATCTCTAGGTGGTGGGCACCAAGCATGCCCCAGGAAGGTACATGAGGCCAATGGGGATTGAACCCATGACCTCCTGAATGCCACTTGCAAGCCTTACCAACTGAACTAGGCCGCTATGCATTTTTGGAGGCCTTGCGGCCCCTGAATCTGTAACTCTGTCTGTTATACTTTGCCTTAGGCAGTGGGCTGTAATAAAGCTTGTTCCTCTTGGAAAAAAAAAGGAAAATAAAAGCATTTTTTTTTCAAAAGCCTTCCCCCCCCTTCCCGATGGAGCACAGATCAGATATTAAACCACCAGTACTTGGCCCAACTATCGGCCGCGGCACTTCCCCCCGTTAACGTGCCGCGCCTTTAGGGCTTCGGGGTACCGGACCACAATGGCTGGAAGCGCCAGCCAAAAACAAATTGAAACGTAACCCGGGCGCTTTGGCAAAAAATGGCGCGCAGGGGCATTCCAGGCTGGGCATCAATAGCTGGGCCCAGT